CCCCAAAACCCCAAAACCCCAAAACCCCTGAAGTGATTACAATAATTGAAATAAAATGGAAATATTGAATAGCAACAATAATTGTCACGAAGATATCATTTCAATAACTTTCAAAGCAATGAAAGAGAAAGGAGTTAATCAGAATATCCTTAATGATCTCAAACAAGACTATGGGTTTATCAGGTTTTGAACAGAGTGGATAGCTCAGCTGCTAGAAATACCCAAACCTAATACAAAAAGAACATCTCTGAACAATATTGCATCCTTAAAAGATAGGATTAAATCTCTTAACACAAAACCTACAAAAGAGCTGAAATCTAAAGAACTAAAAATAGAATCAAAATGTAAAAGCTTGAATCTATGTCTCTTATACCAAAAAGAATCTTTAATTTATAAGAGCTCTCCTCCTTATCTTAGCTTTAAAGAAGATTTAGTTCTAGATCTGAAAACACCCGATAACATTTTATTCTGTAAGACTATTAGAGAACATAATAATTTTCCAGAAGCATACTCTGTAGAGATTGAGTGTAACAGAAGGTCAATAATTATGAACAAATTTCTGAAGACCTCGTTTCCTGTTCAGGCTAGAGAACTGTTATTTCGCAATAGCGATATTAACTTAGCTGAAGCAAGAAAAATGAGTATAAATAAATATTTCAGACAATTCAGCCAAATTCTGCACAAAGTAACAACATTAGTCTATTTGTCTTACTTTGATATCTCTATGAAGAAGCTGAGGAAAATATTTTCATGCTGCAGAGATAAACTTAGACTGGAGTTCAGTGCCTGTAAACTTCATGTTGAGACTGCTCCTGATCTATGTAGACCTCTTTCACAATGAACAATACAAATGCTAAGTTTCTACAACTGAGGTGGTCCTCAATGTAGTGATTGGGCTCAAAATCCGGAAGAATTAGACAATCTGATCCTTGGAATTTCAAAATCTGAAAGCCTTTTTAAGTCTCTCAAAGACTTAATCTTAATAGATTCTAATATCCCAGGTACAGAATTGGGAGAAATATTTCAGAAGCATGGAATCAGCATGAACATAGTTCGCCTTTTTAAAGAACAAGTCTAGTTCAAGATTTTCAATACTCTTCATTCTATTAGGGGTTTTGGGGTTTTGGGGTTTTGGGG